CGGCCCGGCCCGGGAGGGCGCGCCGACTTCCACCGGGCCCGGGGCCGCGGGAGGTGAGCGTGGAGCTGCCCCGGCCGCCTTCGCGGCCGTCGCCTCCTCGACCTCCACCGGGCCAGGCCCGGGAGGGAGGGCACCCGCTGGCCAGGGGCCGCGGGAGGAGGGCTCGGAGATGCCCTAAACTCCCAAACCCCCCATGGGGGGTTCAGGGCAGGCGGGGAGTTTCGCCACCGCCAGGGGAGCTGGCGGCATTGCGGTCCAGTCGCCCAACCGCCGCAGGTAAATCCGCGTGATTTCCACCTCGTAGCCGCGCGACTTCACCAATACTGAGACTCACCCATACCCAGGCTCACTCGCACCCAGATTCACGCACGCTCAGACCCGCTCAAGTTCAGCCTCAGGCTCGTCAGTCCTACTAATCGTCAGGCTTGTTCACACTCAGGTCCACTCGCACTCAGGTTCACTCGTACCCAGACGAATCCATATTCATACCTCCTCATACCTAGATTCCCAAACTTAGTGATTCCTGGGATCTCTAACACTAAAATCCTTTCATAATCTAGTCACTCACGCTCAGATCACTCACACATCCACACCTCCCTCCTCATTTTTCTCCCTCACACTCAGACCAACTTGGCATTCAGACTCACCCAGAACCAGACTGACTCATACCCTGGCCCACTCACACACACCCACTCACACTTCACACTCAGGCGCACTCATGAAGAGACTCACTTGCACTTAGACGCACTGCCATTCACATTCACTCGCATTCAGACTCACACATATACAGTCGGGCTCACTCGCACTCAGATTCGCCCGCACTCAGGCGCACGCATACTCAAACTAAGACTCGTCAATCTCGTATTCATACCCACTCACACTCAGATTTGCTCTCTCTCTCTCTCTCTCAGACGCAGTCATACTCAGACTCGCTCGTACTCAGGCTCATTTATATTCAGTCGCACCCGTACTCGTCCTGGGCTCACTCGCACCTGAATTTACTCACACTCAGATCACACACGTTCAGATCAACGCACCGTTTTCATTGTTTTGATTGGACAATGCTCCCTGGCTCTGCATTTGTGTTTCGCTCATCTCTCCGGACAAATGTCCAGAGGAGGAGGAGGAGGATGTCCCTGAAGTCGTCGCTGTCGTTGTCGTCGCGCCCGTCTTCTACGCGGACTCGCCTTCACACCGAGAAGCTCACAGACAGACTTCCTCAGCGAGACGTGACAGGAGTATGAGACGCACCGTTGGGGATCTCCGCGCCGAATAAGTGAAATTGATGCAAGTTGTCATGACGAGTGTGCACGGCGCCAAAGCGAGAGCATTTTTTTGAAAGCCATCCTTCCATCCTTGAAGCTGATGTGAACCTGAGAGGATCATGTTTGCGATGGTAAGGAAGGCGAGAACAACAGTCTGAGAACGACTGTCACTCCACCATTGGAACGGTTGCAAACTCGTAAGACGAATACGATCGGTGCGACTGTGGCAGCCACAGTTTGAAACCGCCCGCCATCCACCTGTGAATTGTCGAAATTGTTTTAGGCGTGTATGCGTGGCGCTAAGACGATTGACTATGTTCTGAAAATCACTCCCCTCCAGCAGTGAACTTGCTGCAAACTTCTAAGACACTTGTGCGCGGCGATGGGTCGAGAGGCACATGTTGAAAACGATCCCCACCCATCCGTGACAGCGTTGCATGTTTCAATCTTCAGTGTCATACCAAGTAAGTGAGCCTCAGGCGAAACAACCGACTTGGCCCGCCCTACCGACCCATGTGTGGGTGCGACGGAAGAAGGGGTGGAGGAGGAACAACAGCAGGAGAGAGAAGGTGTAGGAGGAGGGTGTGCGAGGAGGAGGAGGAGAAGAAGAACGAGGAGGAGCGAGGACGAGACGGAGGAGGAGCAGAGACAGCGTGGACGAGGAGGAAGGAGAAAGGAGGAGGGAGGAGGAGCAGGGAGAGGGAGAGAAGGATGAGAAGTCAGGAAAAGGGAGTAGAAGAAAGAGGAGGGAGGGAGGGCGGTGTTCCCTGGAGGCGAGAAAACAGGTTGCCCCCAAGAAGTGCGTACCGCTTTGGGCCCCGACGGGTCCCGCAGGGCCTCGTGCTCAGTGTCCTGGGCCTCCAGGCCGCCTGGTGCCACCGACGATGTCTGGCTCCAGCTGGCCCAGCCTGGCAGGCTCCCACCCGATCGATCTGATCCGATATTTCGAATCAAGTTGCGTAAACCATGCACCTTTCGGAGCTCCGCGCGGATGTTTCGGATCGGCGTCAGACCCCCCTCCCCTCAAAGCCGCGCGGAGCGCGCCAGAGGTGGCGCGGGATGCGCCGCCAGGGGGGCGTCCAGAGTACTTGTTACGTCTTTGTTTTTCCAATCTGGATTTCGGCGGGCTCGATCCGATGCGATTTCGATTTTCCGACGATCCGATGCGGCCCGTTGCCTGCACGGGTGCCACCGTGCCTGGGCTGCGGGCAGATAGCGAGAGTCTGTCGGGCGCTTTTTGCTGTGATCCTTGTCCTGGTTTCGTCTGACCGTCGCTCCCCCCCCCCTCTCCTGCTTCGAGGTGGAGCCCTCGGGCGCCGAGGGGCTCCCTCGAAAAAAACGCCCCCCCTCCCCCGGGGCCGCGTGCGCCGCCTCTCGCCTGCTTCGAGGCGGAGCCCCTCGGGCGCCCGGGGCTCCCTCGGAGGAAAGAACGCGGAGCCTTCTGGCCCGTGCGCCCCCCGCCCCCCACACCCCCCGGGCGGGTGCGCCGCCTCTGGTCCGTTTTCGAGGTGGAGCCCTCGGGCAGCGGCGGCTCCCTCGAAAAAAGGGGGCCTTCCTCCTATGTACTCCTCCTCCTCCTCCTTCTCCTCCTCCTCTTCGTCCCCTTGCTCCTCCTCCTCCTCCGCCTCCTCCTCCTCCTCCTCCTCCTGCTCCTCCTCCTCCTCCTGTTCCTCCTCCTCCTGATCTTATTCCTCCTCCTCCTCCTACTTCTCCTCCTCGTCCGCCACCTCCTCCTCCTCTTCCTCCTCCTCCTCGCTTCTGCTTCGAGGTGGAGCCTTCGGGCAGCGATGACTCCCTCGAAGAAGGGAGCCTTCTGGGCAAGCATTCCGTCGGGCATGTCCCTCTACAGGAGGGATCTTCAAGAGCAGTATAAACAACATATTCGGATGACGATGTTTCGTGCTCTTTTGACTGTGTTTGACTCCCGTTGTTTGGCATGTGTTCAGTTTCCTTCCACAATCCGTCTGAAGGGGGACATGCCTGACCGAGGGCAAGCCCCTCCTCTGCTTCTGCTGCGTTTGCTCCCCGTGCCCCGCCCTTCGGTGGACTTGCCCCTCTCCCCGTGGAGGGCTGCAGCACCTCTCCGACTCGGATCTTGCCTGGGTCCACTCCAAAGAAGAGCTCGGCTCTCGTCGGAGCCTTCCCAAGAAGGCCCCGCCTTCGAGGGCCGATGGACTTGTCATCTCTTCCTCGGACTTGCCATCCCTTCCTCGGCGGAAGGCGGCGGAAGGCCGGCGGAAGGTTGCGGAAGGAAAGCGAGGCCACCTCCGCCGGCAGGAGGCCGGCGGAAGGGCGGCGGAAGGGCGGCGGAAGGCCAGCGGAAGCCGGCCGAGGTTTCTTCCCTCAAGGGAGAGAGTTCGGCTCTCGTTACGTTTCTTGTGGAGCTTGTTCTCGGCGGCGAGCCCAGGGGGAAGTGAGAAGGGGCGGGCCTTCTCAGAGAAGCCCCCCTCGCCGTCTGAGAAGTGTTCTGAGCCTCCCCCGAAGATGCAGAAAACTTCTCCAGAGAGCGCGAGGGCTTCTGAGAAGTCACGCGCCTTCTGGGAAGGCCTTCTCCTTCTCGGCTCTCGTTGGGGCGTTCCTGCTTGGGTTTTGCCTTCGATGGTCGAAGGACTTGCTGTCTCCCTCGGCGGAGGTTGGCGGACGGCCGGGTGGCAGAAGTAAAACGAGCCTCCGCCGGCGGAAGCTGGCAGAAGCAAAAGTCGACCTCCCAAGAGTGAGCGACCTTTTTGGGTTCAGGGCGTCCGATCTCCGCCCGCTGTATTTCTTGAGGAGCTTGTTTGGTGCTGGCTACAGCTGGCACGAGGATGAAGAGCAGCCCCAGCTCCCAGCCGGCTGGGGGGGGCACCCTGATTTTCTTCGTGCTTGGGCTTTCCTCTTGGGAGCAAAGTTCGTTTAGGTTGCATCAGGAGGGGAAGAAACACACTGACACAATTAACCTCAAGAAGCAATTAAGAACCCTCCCCCTTCTCCGGCGAAAATATAACGCACCCGACACCCCAGAAGCGTTACCCTGGCACCTCGCACCTTCATGTACACGCAGACGAGTCTGCTCGCCGAAATAAGCAAACCGTGTTCTTCGTATTCGCATTTCTTATTACATTAATAATCGTGCTTCAATATTTTTATTATTCTTATTCCAAGTCCACTTGGGATACCACCCGAGCCAGGGCGCGGGAATTATTCATGTTCGTTCCATCTGCGCGGTGCTAATCATACCGTTCTGCGAAAACCGCCTCCCAGAATTATTTAATTACGGTGCTGTGCTAATGACAACCTCGGGGGGGGTCCTTAATGGTTTCTTGCGGTTAATCGTCGATCCCCAGGAAAAATGCGAAACAATTGGAAGTGGGGGGGAACTAAAACCCAGGAAAATATGCAACAATATGGGGAATCCTGGGATTTGTGTGTATAGGTGTGTGTGTGTGTGTGTGTGTGTCCCTGGGCCCCTTCATTAGATCCATGGGCCTTGAGCCTTCGGCAACGAGCTTCTGACCTGGACCTGCGCTCTTGTGGCCACGTGTCGACTGTTGATGACCCTGCGGCGCGCGCGAGCACGCGTACGGACAGCTTGGGGGAAGGGGGGCGCCCACGGGCCTCCATCCGTTCGATCCCGAAGAGATCACCGACACATAACGGCGGACCAGGATCCTGAGCAAGCGTCTGCAGATGCCCACCACCAGAGCTTCCCCGATTCGTCCGCATCTTTTTCCTCGCGGATGACCCATGCCCCCAGAGGTGACTAACAACTCGCGGAAGCGGGAGGCGCAGGCGGCACTCGACAAGTTGAACATTAACAACCTCAAGGACGGAGCTCGGCCCCCGCGTCTCGGGGCGGAATCGGGGAGGGCGACCACGGAATTAGGACGGGCGGGACGGAGAAGGAGAAGGATGATGGAGGAGGAGGCGGGGGGGAGATGAATCGTTGAGGGGAACGGAGGGTCAGTATAATGTGTCCTTTTGGGTCTCATGAGCACCGCCTTGTTTAGCATCCGTCGTTCCCCCATGGGGTTGTCGGTCAAGCTTGTGGTCTACCAGGTGCGCGCAGTCGTTCCAACCAACGTCAGGAGAGGCGGAGGTGAGGAACTGTGCAATGGTCGGCGGGAAATGCATGTTAGGAGAGCTGTGGTGGTGAAGGTTAGGAGTCATATTTGAAGCATGAGACCGAGTAGGACTGGTGCCGCTCCCAACACGGATTACAACATGTAACCATCGTTGTGCGGTAGCCAGCTGGTGCGCCACGTTCACAAAACACTTGGCCTAGCAGTAGTCGTAGTAGTGATACTACTACTACGACTACTACTACTACTGCTACTACTACTACTGCTACTACTACTACTACTACTACTACTACTGCTACTGCTACTACTACTACTACTACTACTACTACTACTACTGCTACTACTGGTACTAGTGCTAGTACTAGTACGAGTACGACTACGAATACTAGTTGTACTCGTAGTGGTAAAAATAAGAAGTAGCAGCAGAAGTAGTAGTAGTAGTAGTAGTAGTAGTAGGAGTAGTCGTAGTAATAGTAGTCGTAGTAGTAGTAGTAGTAGTAATATTGGTAGTAGTAGTAGTAGTAGTAGTAGTAGTAGTAGTAGTAGTAGTAGTAGTAGTAATAGTAGTAGTAGTAGTAGTACTAGTAGTACTAGCAGTAGTAGTCCGAGTAGTACTCGTAGTCGTAGTAGTGGTAGTAGTAGTAGTAGTAGTAGTAGTAGTAGTAGTAGTAGTAGTAGTAGTAGTAGTAGTGGTAGCAGTAATAATAGTAGGAGTAGTAGCAGTAGTAGGAGAAGTACTACTAGTAGTTGTAGGGTAGTAGTAGCAGTGGAGATCGTAGTCGCAGTAGTGGTAGAGTTGGTCGTCGTATTAGTAGTAGTAGTAGTCGTCGTAGTAGTAGTAGTAGTAGTAGCAGTAGTAGTAGTAGTACCAGTAGTAGTAGAAGCAGCCACAGTACTAACAGTTGAAGTATACGTAGTAGTAGTAGTCGTCGTTGTAAACGTAGTAGTTGTAATAGTAGTAGTAGTAGTAGTAGTAGTAGCAACAGCACTAGTAGTACGAATCGTAGTAGCAATAGTAGTAGTAGCAGTAATGGGAATAGTCGTAGTAGTAGTAGTAGTAGTAGTAGTAGTAGGAGTAGTAGTAGTAGTAGTAGTAGTAGTGGTAGACGGAGTAGTAGTCGTAGTAGAGAAGTAGAAGTAGTCGTAGTAGACGGAGTAGTAGTAGTAGTAGTAGCAGTAGTCGTAGTAGTAGTAGTAGTCGTAGTAGAAGTAGTAGACGGAGTAGTTTTTGTAGTAGTAGTCAGAATCGTAGTAGTAATAGTAGTAGCAGTTGAAGTATAAGTAGTAGTAGTCGACGTAGTAGTAGTAGTAGTAGTAGTCGTCGTCGTCGCATTATCAGTAGTAGTAGTAGTGTCGTCGTAGTAGTCTTAGTCTTAGTAGTAGTACTGAAAACACTATTTTTTGTTGTGGTAGTAGTAGTCGTCGTCGCAGTACTAGTAGTAGAAGTAGGAGTAGAAGTGGTTGTTGTGGTAGTATCACTCGTAGTTGTAGCAGCATCAGCAGCTCTAGTAGTAGCAGTCGTAGTTTACCAGTCGTAGTAGTAGGAGTAGTAATCGTAGTAGTTGTCGTCGTAGTAGTAGTACTAAAACTAGTACTCGGAACTGTGCTAGGACTAGTACTAGAAGGAGTAGTAGTAGAAGATGTTGTAGTTGTCGTAGCCGTCGTAGTAGTAGTACTAGCAGGTTTAGTAGCTGGGGTCATAGTCGCAGTCGTAGCTGTAGTAGTAGTCGCAGCAGCAGCAGCAGTAGTAGTGCTAGTAGTAGTAGCAGCAGTAGTCGTCGTAGTAGTAGTAGTAGTAGTAGCAGTAGTAGTAGTAGTAGCAGTAGTAGTAGTAGTAGTAGTCGTAGTACTAGTAGTAGTAGTAGTAGTAGTAGTAGTAGTACTCGTCGTCGTCGTCGTCGTCGTCGTCGTCGTCGTCGTCGTCGTCGTCGTCGTCGTCGTCGTCGTCGTCGTCGTCGTCGTCGTCGTCGTCGTCGTCGTGGTAGAAGTAGCAGCTGTAGGAGTAGAAGCAGCAGCAGCAGTAGCAGTAGTAGTAGTAGTAGTAGTCGTCAAAGTAGTAGCAATAGCACTACAAGTAGGAGAAGAAGTCGGAGGTTGAGAGGGGAGATTAAAGCGGGATGGAGACCCCCAACTTGGAAATCGTTTCGTTTCGCTCGTGTCGACGTGCGGGCGAGGCGAAGCTGCGTTGGCGCGCGAGAGGGATGAACCCGCCGCTGCTAGGGCGAAGTCATGACAAATGATTCTCCTCCGTCCGGCGGTGGCCCTCGGTGTCCCGCGGTGTCCCGTGGTTTCCCGTGGTGTCCCATGGTGTCCCACTTTGTGCCGTGGTGTCCCGTGGTGTCCGCCGTTGCTACGCCAAAGTCAAGACAAATGATTATCCTCTTTCCGGCGGTAGCCCTCGGTGTCCCACGGTGTCCCGTGGTGTCCCGTGGTGCCCGCCGTTGCTAGGGCGAAGTCAAGGCAAATGATTCTCCCCGTCCGGTGGTGGCTCGCGGTGTCCTGCGGTGTCCCGTGGAGTCCCGTGGTGTCCTGTGGTGTCCCGTTGAGTGAGATCGATAGTGAGATCGATAGTGAGATCGATGATGAGATCGATGAGATCGACAGTGAGATCGATAGTGAGATCGATATTGAGATCGATGTGGTGCCCCGAGGTGTCCCGTGGTGTGGCAACGTGTCCCAACAAGTGAGATCGATAGTGAGATCGACAG